GGAGGCCGTCTGATTTATGTATTTTTTTCTGCAAGGAACCCCTCATTTGTAGGTATTCACGGAGCGGGGGGGGGCGAGGGGGAGAAAAGCATTGTTAAAAGTCTCGGACTGGTGATTCACTGACCACCAAACCGGCGACGCGAAGTGAATTAGCCGGGTAAAACCCGGGCGGCCCCCGGAACCAGGCATCCCTTCAGCATCCCCAGCGCCGCGCGCTTCGCTTTAATATTATTTTTAATTCCCCCTCCGCCCCCCGGAGGAAAGACAGCGTGCCCACGATGCCCGGGCAGTTGTGTCTCCCGCCGGGAGCTCCCAAGCCAGCAGCGTGGGTGCCGGCGTGCCTTCCGGGAGCCGGAGCCCGTGTGTACGCGGTGGCGTTGAACCGGCGTCGGGGCCGGCTGCTGGGTTTTTGGGAGCCGTGGCAGCTACAATGCCCGTGTTAAATTGCTAAGGAGGGTGATGTTTCAGCTGTGTTGTTTTGCTTGCAGATCAGCAAAAAACCACAGTGATTGAAAACGGTGAAATCAGATTCAATGGAAAAGGGAAAAAGATTCGGAAGCCTCGAACCATTTACTCTAGTCTACAACTCCAGGCTTTGAATCATCGCTTTCAGCAGACTCAGTACCTGGCACTTCCAGAGAGAGCTGAACTGGCAGCTTCATTGGGACTTACCCAGACACAGGTAATTACTGGGAATCCCAAAACACTGAGATCCTGCGCGAGCAATGAAGGCCAAGCAAAGTACGATGCTCCCTATACGTTATGGCCTCTGTGTGGGGACGGTAGAAAAGGTAAAACTCACATGGTTCCCCCCATCTATGTGTGATAGGACTTATGTAATGCACGGCAGAGAGCCCGGGCCATCGCAGAAGGAGATGAATGCACCCTTCCCTCGGCTGTCTGGTGAGCAAACGCTCCCTTTTGGTGCCACACATAACGTTTTAAAATCTCCTGCATTCTCGGATAATTCCAACACCGAGATGCAATTGCCCAGCTGTGAAAAGGAGAACAAAACAAAGGCAAGAAATCGCTGGGCCTGAGCTAAAAGAGAAGCGAAGCTGCTTCTTAGCAACCTATAGGGAAAGGGGAAGCAGGAACACGCTAGGAAATACCTGTAAAATCAATAGTTAATTCATCCTGGATGACTAACGCAAATGCAGTGGTTACCCTTGGGCAAAATGTACAAAAGGTGATAATAGATCTGAAGATCAAAGACAGCCATGTACAAATTTATAGCAGGTTAAGCCATAGTTAAGTGTGGTTGGAGTAGCTGTGCCATTCTGCTAATTTGAGCTTGAAAGACACATGAGGCATTACAGGCTTCCCAGGCTGGGGTTTCTGAAGAAGTGCATGGATAGATGGGATCAATTTGGGTAAAATGTAATCGTGTGAATTTAGGAGCTTAACAAATAACTTCAGGATTTTATCACTGCCGTTGACGACTGTCCCTTCCAGCCAGAGATTTTTAAATACTCAGCAAAAATTAATCATGGGAATAGACCTGATGGTTTTACAAATGGGATTTTAGTATCCTTAGCATGCACACTCTGTCTCTATTGCAGTCTCACCTTCTCTCTTGCAGGCATAGATTTAGGGGGCCAGATCCTGAGCACGCAGCTAGACAAGAACCCCTGCTTATGCCCTAACGTTACATCTTCCAAGTTTCCAAGGTCAAATACACACGTGGGGGTTGTTGTCTTTGTTTGTTTGATTTTAAGGAATATGTGTAGATGGATGCCTTTCATGGATATCATGCCTATGATAACCCTGATCTGCCAGCGTGGGCCTGATCCTTGCACTGATCCTTGCATGCTTCATCGAGTGCAGGCTTCTTCCTCAGCAGTTCTGCTGGACTGGGAGCAGGATGAGACCCAAAGCAATCTTGATAGCCAATTATCCTCCGAGAAAAGAGGCTTTTCCTCTCTTTAAAACCAACTTTAAAAATAAAGCCAGAATCCTGATTCCCTTGTGCCTCCTCCCCCGTCACATCAGCAAGGACCGCTGGATCGTGCACAGTTTGGGATGCGCGATTTTCTCGTAAGATGCCCTTTGTCTATTGGCTCCTGTCTCCCGGCACAAAATCATATGATTGCCTGTGTTTGACAACAGCTTGCCCAAACGATCAAATGACCTCCAAAATTCTGAACGAGGCATTGAACCAGGAAAGCTCAGATCCTGTACTCTTGCTTCAGCTTGATCAGTCTGGCCTGCCCAGGGAAAACAACGTTCCAGGTTAAAACCTGCATCTCTCTCGCTTTCCAGCTCCACTCTGCCTCTCCTGTTCTCCCCAGCTGCATCCAGAGCCCGAGAGAAGCAGTTGTTACCCCTCTTTCCCCTTTCCCCATCCCCACACCCGACTGGCGTGGGATTCCAAGACCTCCTCTAGGGCAAACCCACGGGGATCCCCAGGGTTCTCTCTACCCTGCCCTGGATGCTGACGGCTGCGTTTTGGTTTTACAGGTGAAGATCTGGTTTCAGAACAAGCGCTCCAAATTCAAGAAGCTGCTGAAGCAGGGCAGCAACCCCCATGAGAGCGACCCTCTGCCCGGCTCCGCTGCCCTCTCCCCTCGCTCTCCGGCTCTGCCTCCAGTCTGGGACGTTTCAGCTTCTGCCAAGGGAGTCAATATGCCTCCCAACAGCTACATGCCTGGCTATTCTCACTGGTATTCTTCTCCACATCAAGACACAATGCAGAGACCACAAATGATGTGAATTGTCCAAGAGAAATAACCTCCCAAGAACGTCTCGTCTCGACATGGCAAAAAGTTCCCCTGCTTTGCCAAGCCGTGCCAGCTAACAGGCTCTGTGTGAACTTGTAGATGCGGCAAAGAGACGGAGTGGCGTTATTTTATTTTATTTTTTTTAAGTAACCTCAGCGATTGATCTTGAACAGAAAGACACAATTTTCATTCTGGCGCACAGAAGACACTTCTCTTTAGGATATTTTCCTTTGGACTCCAAGGCACCAGCCTCTTTCTCTGTGGAGTATACGTCAAAACAAACTTTTTACAGACTTTGCCCACAAGAAGAACCTGAATCTACCATGGCAGCCGTTTTTACTTGTTTAATGAGCTAAAGACATTACATGATGAAAGAGAGACTAGTCAAAGCTCCTTCATTTTTATTCACCAAATCCGGACCGGGAAAAAAAAAAAAAAGAAAAGTAAAAGAGAAGAAGGGATTAAAAAAAATGAAGAGGGGAAAAAAATGAGAACTGGTTTAAAAATGAAAATATACTGTAAGACTAGAACATTACCACAGAGCAAAACCTGCATGCTTTCTCAAAATGCAATGGGCTGCGGCTCAGAAGAAACCACCGTCTCTCCCGCGAAGAGCCCCCTCGCCCGCACCCGCACACACCCGCACACAGCCGGACAGACTCCCGGAGACGAGCAGGACAGACAGAGCGAGGGACCCGCGGCTGCACCCGCCGCCGCGGGCTCGGGCTGGGGAGGGAAGGTCCAGCGCTACCCGCTGAGCCAGAGGGACCTTTCCCCCGAGCAACCTTTCTGTATATATTGTTGAATTTTAGTTGTACATATACTTTGTATGGTTTTGTCTTCTTTCATATATAGAGTAAAAGCCACAAAACGCCCGCCTGGCTCCTATTTCTCTCCCCTTAGCGGATCCCGACCTGCCCCCTGAGTTCAGCCCGGGCAGCTGGACGCTCTCCCCCCCGCTCGCCTGCACGCACAAACACCGCTACCTGCACACGTATCTTGCCAGCAAAGATGGAGAGGGGGAGGGGGATGTAGCTGTAGCTGGTGATTTGGTTAGTTTTAAGGCTACGACCAAGACAGGAGATACCGAGACCGCAAAGCCTAGAAGAAGTTTCTAATCACCCGGCCATTTCTGCTGCGATTTCGCTGCTCAGTTGAGCTGAGCTTTCTCGTCTTTCTTCCCAAAGGTTGGAGACTCCAAAATATTAAGAAAGGAGGCGCCCTCCTTTGTGGTTTGGTTTTTTTTCCCTTCTTTTTTCTTTTTTTTTTTTTTAAAGAGCAGACAATGCAAGCTGAGGAATGTTTTGCAAAGCCCTGAGAGGTGCCCAGGCACACAACACGCTGTCCAGCCAGCTCCAGCCTCACTAGCTTGTGGAAAGCACAGCAACTACTGCAAATGAAAAGCCCTTTCCTCATCCAAGCTGGGTGCCCCATACTGCGAGAATTAATGGCTAGAGACCTGGGCATCCTTCAAATTATGAACCTTGAAACCACTGAGCCATTTATCAGAAGTCAATAGAGATCCTCAGAGTGCTCCATATAATGACAGCTACATACAGTCGTGCAAAAGGACAGTCACTATAATTAGACACAAAGCAAAGACTACTTACCAATATACCAGTTTTTTGGGGGGTGTTTTTTTGGGTTTTTTTGAGCAACTTCCACGCTCAGTCAGTCTTCAGAGTGGTTTAAAACCGATCAGTCTTGTCATTTTCTACCATTCGTATTGTTACATTAGGAAAAATGTTTTCTTTTCTTTTTTTCCCCTTCCCACTGTGAAACTTTGGGTTCAGAGCTCCCCAGGATCAATTCTGAACAAAGCCTCCAGCTGCAGTGCCATCCAATTTGAAGCAGACATTGGGGACAATTTAAGGTTTTTATCCACAAGAAGGTTTTTTTCCATTCTCTTAAATGCAGCCATAATTAGAGTAATTTTTCATGTAGCCCGCTGATTACAGCGTTTTTACCGTCAAAGATAATTACCTGTAATTTTCTTCCACTTTTAATACTAAAAAGCCATCTTTATTTAGATTCAGGAACAGGAAAGGCGAAACAAAAGAGGAAAATTATTCTGTTATTCATACACAAATTGCAGAGACGTAGGGCCTAAAATTGAAAATTAACCAAAATTATAATGCAGAAAAGAATGGAAGAGGCTTCAGAAGTACAGCTGGTAGTGGGGCTCACTGAATTATTCAAATGACACTGGAGAGAAAGCTACCATACATTTAAACCAACTGCATTTGTGTGCGTACGTGTGTGCATCCTTCAGAAAACCCTGCTGTACACCCCCCAGGCCGGCCCCTCTGCGGGCTCACCCTCGCCCCCC